TGTGACGAAAGCAGAGCTCAGTCTGAAAACTAAGCTCTCAATATTCAAGTCAATCTTTATCCCCACACTTACCTATGGTCATGAATCGTGGATCAAGACCGCAAAACGTTGATCCCGTGTACATACGGCTAAAATGGCCTTTCTGAGGCAAATTGCTGGGCCCAGGCGTCTCTGCATGGCCCAAAGAACAGATATCGGTGAGAAACTTTGTGTACAGCCGCTGCTTCTTTAGATTGAAAAGCCGCAGCTGGCACGGTTTGGGCCCATGTTGTGCATGCTTCCAGGACTGAAGGAGAATTAGCTAGTACTCGTTCAAACTACTGGCTCAGGACCCTTGAACTAAGTGTAAAGTGTATCGAAGAACTCTACTCCCGACTTTGGTTATCATCTGCCGAAGCTGAAATACTGGTGGGGGAATCGAGAACGTTGGCGACACTGTCTGATACATCTGCCACGTGGAACCAAATGAAATAGGCGTCATCGAAACTGCTCGACTGATTTGCAGGCGGAATTTGAAAGCTGCCAGTCATAGTTGCTACTCAGAAATACCCAAGTAACATTGTATCTCATTCATGTTTCATTCATATCACCACTTTGCCGCGCACCCTTCTTATCCTGAGGCGAAAATATAGTTAATGGACCAGATAGGCGGAAGATGTCGTTGAACGAGTCTTGACGGGTTGGGCAAAAACAGAGAAACACGATTTATTATTAGTCATGTCAAGTGAACCTTATTACCAATGATTGCTGGTATCAAAATAAGCACATTCGCTACGCCAGCACCAAGCAGGCCCATGCAATGTATGTAACCAGAATGTTAATGGCATGACAGAAAGTTATGAACAAGTAATTGCCCTTGCAACTTTGGCTGCCCCAGAGTTTTTGCCAGAAAATGTACAATGAACCCCTAGTAACGATCTGTCCAAGCTGCCAAAGCGCTGAATCGGCTGTAGGTGCTTTTGATACAGGGACAGTGCGCAGTGAAACTGCAGACGCAACGGATGACTGACATCAGCCAGGTTTCTACGCTCCAGACGAAAGGCAGCTGCCATTGTTATTTTCGCAATGCGGTCATCAGTTTCTCCAGGAAAGATTCTGCTAATCTTAGCTATTGCCATTACGGCTATACGCAGTAACCTGAAGTGCTTCTTCATTGTGCCCGAGGACGTCCCTGGGTGGAGTAAATGATTAAATGATCAGAGGAACGATGCATCCGAAAGTGAAGAGGCGTACTACTTTGTTTGGCTAGAATGCCGGCAGCATGATTTGCCTCAGTAGATGGCAAGATGTCTTACGAACCTTTGCAAACACTGAGAACATGTTGTCCGACCAGTCGACTCTACTGTTTAGTATGACCCCAAGGTATTTTGTGGCTTCGCAAGCCGAGATGAATTTTCTTCTTAAGCTGGTAGGATTTTCGATGAGGGGAGGGGTAGTAAATCATACGATCTGATATTTTTCATCTGGCCAGTTAGTTGAGCGCTTTTCTGACAGTTAAGTCTTAAGCCGTTGTTCCTGACCCTTAGCTTTTTTTTTCGTTGACTTGTTGTTCCCGGTTTCATAATTTTCAAAGCCTTCTGCCAGCCGGCAGACGTCCCTGAAATCGGCGGTATCGAGATTGAAGATGATTCTCGAAGGAGCGTTTAGCTACTTTCTCTAAGTGCTTCGCACTTGGGGCCCGTTGGAGGGCGAAAAGTTCATCGCAGAAGAATCATCGAGCAGCCAGTGTCAGAGGGAATTAAGCAGGTGTTACACAGGATACAAAATACACACGATACGTAATAATGAACGCTGAAAGTAGCAGCAAATAATCGCTAGCCGGCTGAACAGCTGTCAAGAGGTCAGGGAAAATTGTCGACCGACCTCCGGAAGAGTGACACACTCACATTCCCCATTTTTGACCTCGATGATCAAAATCTTGCTTATTGCAGCTGTCCGAACACTTCCATCACGCCGTCATCACTTTGAATGGAAGATGGCAGTTTTCGTGATATTTTCGATTTTTTGACGGAGTAAACACCCCCTTGTGTCTGGACTGTAAAGGCAGTTGCTTATTCGAACCGTTTGAAGCATTTTATGACATGAGCGTGTTGGATTGGATAGGGGTACTATCGATAGTGATCCAAAGAAGAAAAACTTCAAACCTGATGATGCTCAGGATATACTCACAAAAGTACAATAACTTATATATTCAGGACGCCGACAATTCTTACCGTTTCGTTTTTCATCACTTCACCGGATATGAATTCGACGTAAAGATTCGATTCAGACGAAACCACCGTTTCGTTGTGGCCGAAATCTTTGCAGAACACGCCTAACATGACAATGGAACCGGAATCCTCCGAATGAAGCCATTGCGGCCCTTTGCCGTCGAAAACGGTGATTCTGGAGTCAGACGATGAGCAGCTTAAAAATGAAGAATTAGTTTTACGATACGATAAAACTTATGTTCATCTCGCACCTGCCTGTGATGCGTCCAAAATTGAGCTTTACAATCGTAACCCTTACCAACTCATTGGCTTTTCCGCTGAACCAGTAGTTGCACTTGGATTTCGAAGGGATGTTGTAAGGATAGCGAGGTGAAAAAAATTTTCCACGTTTGCGGTCATCCTCGCTTTTGATATAGTAGTCGCATTCCGTACTTGGAAGCTTCAGTCCATCGGTCATGTAATCTTCTGAAAAACAGCATATCTCAGCAGATTAATGTTTCGCAGAACTGTAAAGCAGAATAAATACTCTTTGGGCCCAAAACAAATGACGGAGAGTAAAGTACTCTGTGAAGTCGAGTGAAAGTACTCTGTTGCTGGATTGATATTATGTTCCTCATATGAATAACGAAAACAGGAAAACAATATTGCAACTCGTTTGTGTGTTTCTGTACGTGGTTTCGTAGGTGCTACAAAAACTCAAATTCGCATTTCGGCATTGCTACGTTTCCTGGAATGTTACCTTGAAACTAGAGACATCGAGTGCCTCAGTGATATTATTAGATCTGGACAAACAGATAAATAAATTGATAGATGGATGAATGAATGAATGAATGGATGGATGAATGGATAGAGAGATAGAGGAGAGCATTAAACTTTCTCGTGATGAGATTTTTCACTGGACAAACGTTACAGATTTGATTAAGATCATTCATGCCCTCAAACCTCACGGTTCAGTTACTCAAAACTGATCATACCTCATAATGCTTCACATAAGTTGACAGAACGTCATTTGAAAACCTTATGAGTAGGTTGTTGTTCAGCTGTGCTATAGTCTACCTGTGTTCAGTAGGTCTCCGACGAAACCGATAGCCATTGCGATCAGAAATGAGCAGAACACTATGAAAATTGTGGATCATGGAATGAATCAATCTGCGAGTGAGTGGACTGTTCGTTAAATGAGGAATGTCGGCCTACCGCCGATTTCAGGGACGTCTACCGGCTTGCAGTACGCTTCGAAAACTACCAAACCGGAAAACACCCTTCCCTCTCTACTCTCCATAAATATCTGTTCCGGACTAAGCAGACTGGCAGACCTCACAATGGCTGTCGAGAACCGAGGAAACTCCTCTTGACCCCCTTGCACTGTTCTTGTCCAAGAATCACGGTTTCATGTAGCGGTTGAAGAAGCGGTGGCCAGCTTTGAAAACTACATTTTGTACAAAG